CTCTGACAGGACTATGCACAAGTGAAATAAAATATCGCTATGTTCTAATCAAACTTGTGTAACAGTAAAAACACTCACCCCATCGCCCTGATTTAGACAGAAACTGAGCCACCAGTTACTAAAGGCTGTAGTACCAACTATTGTAAAAATGTTTAGGACTGTGAAGAAGGAGACAATATATCCTGGAGGAACATTGTTACAATTTTAAAGCATGTTTGAACCGTACAGCACACCGTACAGTTGGGATTAACCAGCATCTACAGCTTATAGAAGACTTCACTGCCTAATTTAAAACATTTATCAGAAAAAAAAAAAAACTGCATAAGTGCCCTTCCTCTGAAGCAATAGAAATTAAGTAGATTTAACTTAAAAAGTAAACTTTTAATCACTGCACATGCATGTCTGTATATCAGACCTCCAGCTGCCAGGCAGTACTTCTGATTCTGGTTCTCCAAGAGACTCTGCCTTCAGCGGTAGACTCCTGACCAGCTGATCACCAGGTGTGACGACAGCTTAAAGAAAAACGGTTATCAAATCAGTAAATTCGCTTAAATCTTAACTAATTAGACTAGATTTCGGTCACAGAAGAACCTAAGAACTGTTGTATTCAAAAAATACTGGTGGGTGCCAGTGCTGCCCCTCAGCCTCCTGGTAGACATACCTGTGGGATCGAATTAAAGATAGGCAACATGTTTCTAAAGTTATGATGTTCACAAGATTTTAATAAAGTTTTGTCAAGATCACGAATAAAGCTCAGACTCCCACCCCACCCTGCCATGCCAATCACTATTGTAAATACAGACTGCCAAATTTACTACTTCAGAAGTAACTAAGCACTAGGATGAGACATAATTTGGGGTATACAGTTGTATCTCTAGAGAGTTGATAAAGATAGATATATGGTCAGATTACAGATATTTTAGAGATTATAAAAACAATCAATGAACACTATACTCGGACAGCACAACTTTTTAAGCTCTTCAGTTTCACCCGATATCTCTCTTCCAATATGAACATAAACCTGCACAAAATGCACTTATTTTTCTAAGTTCGAAGACATCAATAAAAGTTAAAGTAGCTAACAGAGTCCTATCATGACAGCTAGATTGAAGGCACAGACATTGTCACACATGGACTTTGAGAAATGTGCCACAATGGTGCACCTGTCCCATAACATCTGTTATTCCAAACATTTCTTACACGTGTCTTCATAGTTCACCATGAATTAAATGGTGCATTACAAATCATATAATATTAATAATAATAATAATTATTATTATTATTTCATGCTCATGTTTTTAATACCGTTGTTCATCATTCCAACATCTTCACCAGGTCTGAGCTCAGATTCATTCACGTTGGCAGGATCCAGGGACATCACTTCATCTTCCATCTGCTTCTGAAAAGAGAACAACAACAGTTTCACAGTTAAGTCTGCATACTTAACATAATAAAGCTTACAGAACTTAGTGAATTCAAAGCAACAAAGAACTGATACTAAGGCTTTTGAGCTAACTGAACAGTAAGAGTAACAGAGCTACAAACATTTGTACTGCAGTTTGTGTGAAATCCTTACTTTAGACTAGAGGTAGTTGCTGATGAGTTGAGCATAGCGCCCATTTGCATTCATCAGGGCTTGATGGTTTCCAGCCTCCTGAACCTCACCATCCTCCAGAACCAAGATGCCATCACAGAACTCCAAATACTAAAAGACACAAGTTAAGACAACTGTGAGAAATGCCCCCCCCAAACACTCTGAAGTGGAGTGACTTATCAAAATGGTTCGGTTTAATTTGTGATTAAAACAATACCATTAAGTTTAGGTTTTGGGGTGGCTGTAGCTCAGGTGGTAGAGCAGGTCATCTACTGATCGGAAGGTTGGTGGTTCGATTCCTGGCTTCCCCAGTCTGCATGCCAAATATCCTTGGGCAAGATACTAACCCCAAATTGCTCTCCGATGCATCCATCGGAGTATGAATGTGTGTGTGAATGTTACTTAGAAAGCACTTAGAAAAATGTGCTTGTGCGAATGGGTTAATGTGCAAGTTGTGTACAGCGCTTTGAATGCTCAGAAAGAGTAGAAAAGCGCTATATAAGAACCAGTCCATTTACCAGGTTTCAACAATCACAGCACAGTGATTTATTTAGATTATATACCAGGTGTTACCAAAAAGTTCCAAGACTGCCTATATGTCACGGCTGGCGGGGTGAGCCGTGTGGTGTGGAGGAAAAGGAGGACCCAAAATGCAGGCAGCCGATATGATGATTTGAGTGAGGGTTTAATTTAGAGACAGGAACGGAACACCATAGAACGCAGACGAGCCGACAACGCACACAGACCGACACCCACTATATACACACACA